TTGGTTTCTGATTTCGGGACTGTTGAGGCCCAGCAATTCCCGTTTTCGGCCGCCCTCCACGGATGACACCTAGGGCTACTGCAGGTTGTGAACTTCCCTTGGGGCGAACCCTCTGATCTCCTTTCTTGAATTTATCCACACCAAACTTCACGTTTGATTGTACACTGGCACCTTTGGTATCACCTCTGGCATCTCCATACCTGTTGGTATTCACCGGGATCCTGTGGGAGGCATAGAGTGGCAGTCGGGGGTCTCAGTCACTCCCAGCCCCCCGCAGCTCCTCCACCTCAAGACCCTCCCCTCCTCCCTGCCCCTATTTCCCCTCCACCCCAAAGTCTGACCACCCTCCCAGGTTACCCCGCTGCCCCCCAAACCCCAGCTACTCTCCCTGTCTCCATGTCCTCTTCACTGCCCCCAGATCCCTTCCACTGCTCCCCCTCCTCGTACCTGCCCCTCACCCCAAGGTTTGCCCATGCTCTCCGGAAGGGATCTTGGGGGTCATCTCGTCCAACCCTCTGCCCTAGCAGAAAACCCTCTACCATTCCAGATAAGTGACTGTCCAGTCTATTCTGAAAAACCTCCAGTGATGAAGCACCCACTTCTGGTGGTAAGCTGTTCTAACGGTTAATTGTCCTCCATCAGGACAATTTCCACTTAATTCCACGTTGCTTCTCTCCTTGATTCATTTTCATCCATTCTTGTCCTGCCTTTCGGTGCTTTGAAAAATACGTCGACCCCTGATTGCCTTTGGGAAAAAAAACGCCTTTGGGACACAATCCTAGCCCTTCGATTAACATCTCACTGGTCCCCTCAAAGACCAGGAAACCCCTCGAGATTAAGATTGCCAAATCCCCACATCATAAATTTACAGCTAGAGAGGAATCTACATATCCGGAGGGCTTCCTTCTTCCTTTCTGGATTTCACACTTACCAGGGAGGTAACATCTCAGTCCGCACATCTGCACGGGAAGAGCACACAGAACCAAGGACCGGTCTCCTTATAAAACTGAATCTCTGCACCACATTTTCTTGTAGTCTACCCCCAAAAACAAGTCGCTTCCTTTTTGGGAATAAACTGCATCTCCTTTCTCCCAGAACGTCTGGAGTTTCCTGTTTCTGATTTATTCTTGTGTTCTTCTTTATTATCTTTCTAATAAAACCAATATTGCCCAGCTGGCTTTCATACCTAGGGCAGGACTAGAACTCGTTCCCTCCAATACCTCCAAAAGCCAACACAACTGTCTCAAGGACCACAGAACCCAAGCAGTGATTTCAAGAGCTCCAAATGCTTACTTGAAGTTTTGTTGGGCAGAACCGGGTGAATTCTCATTGCTCTTCAGCCCGACTACGATTCCTATGATCAGCACCACTCCCAGCACCACGATTATGCCCAGAATCCACTTCCATCTTTCCATAGCTCCTGCTGGCCCAGGAACAGGGGTTGCGTAGTCGTGCGAGAGACCCTGTCAGCTCCTGTTTCTCAGCTCCTGCCTCTAGGCAGATCTGGCTCAGGGGGGAATTGGGCGCAAGAGGCAAGCATGTCGGAACAGCGGCCTGCCTTTTGATGGACTGGGATGGGCCGATGAGGAAATGGTTTGTTTGTTTTCCTGAGAACTCTTAAAATCTGTTGAACTGTTTACCTCCGGAAGTTGTGGGTGCCCCAATATAGGGGAACTGCAAGAAGAGACTGGACAACCTTTTGTCTGGAATGGTAAAGGTTCTCCTGCTTGAGCAGTGGGTTGGACTAGAAGACCTCCAAGGTCTCTTCCAACAGTCGCCACATCTTTTTTTTTGGTAATGTGTTCACCTATTTATCCACCACCTATTCCCAGGTGTCCTACCCACATAGACACAAAAGCAAAAAGGATTCAAGGACGGACTGAAGACCTTCATCTGTCCGTCCGTTCGTCCATCCATCCATCCAATCCATGCATCTATCCCCTATCTCCCCATTCATCATGTGTCTGCCTATTCCATCTAGATCAAGGGTGTCAAACTTGTGTCATCACATCACCTATTGGGACTTCCTCCCCCCCCCGCTTCGCTAAAACGGGCAGGGGCAGAACCAGCACGTAATGCATCTGGCCCCCAGGTTTGACACCCAATCTAGATCCATCTATCCATCCATCCATCCAGGATCTTAATCTATCCTTTTTTTAAATCAAGTTTTATTGATTTCTTTTCTTTCATACACACACACACAGTTTATGAAGAGTATTGACCATATCATATCTTATACAACTTTTCATATCCAATGTCATTTTAGTTACCATTTTTGCCAAAATATTTTTTTCATACTTTATCTTAATACTTCTAAACTTGTTATATAAACAGAATCACCATCCGCCCTCAAATCCTAGTTTCTTAACATTATTTCAATTAGTTATTTTATCTTATCCATTGTTAATCATATATATATATATATATATATATATATATATATATATATATATATATTCCCTTTTAATGTTCATATTAGTTTGTTCTTCATCCTAATAAATTTGCACATTCTTGGGGTTACCTTTCTACCATCATCTCCCTTGTTTTACAATTCTCCTCTCCTCTCTTTCTCTTCCCTCCCTTCTTCTATCCCTTTCTACTTTTCTCTTTCCTCCTCTCCTACTTCCCCTTCCTCTCCCCCTCCTCTATTCCTTCCTCCCTTTCTAACCTTCTTAAAAGACTAAAGCCCAAAAAAGAAAACTTTCTATCTGGACTTAAAATTGGATTTGGAGAAATTAGAAATAATACAAGAAAAAGAAAACGGAGAGAAAACATTTCTTAACAATAAAAGGAAAACAAATTGAAGAGATAGTATTTTCGATGTGGATTTAAAAGCGATATTGTGTTGCCTGGGGATTTGTCAACTGGAGAGAGAAGGAAGCATCATAACGAACATTTTAAACGTTGAAGGAGTATTTGTTTAAACAGCTGGATCCCGACCTTGAAAAAAAAAAAAGCATTTAACTGGAATGCTTTAGATAAATATTTGAATTGGATACTATTTGGAAATTTTAAAAAAGGGAGACACTATAGAGACTTGAATTTTAACTACATAAAAATTAAAATAAAAATGTCTTTGAATTGACAATATGGAACATTGGGAATATGAGGAAAATGGAAATGTTTAAAAAGGTGTGTGAAGCGTTTAAGAGTGATAAAGAAATAGAAATCTGGTTAGAATACCAAAAAAAAAAAAAAAAAGAAAAAAAAAAAAAAAATTAAAAAAGAAAATAATGTTGAAAGGAAAATAACTGAAGATTACACTGGGATTGATAGTGAAAAACAAAATGTGGATGGGGGAATATCACCCAAAAAAGAAAGGAAGAGAAGAAAATGGGAACAGACAAGAGGGGGAGAATTAAAAGGATAACAATTTTAAAAATGATAGAAAGGATTCAGGGGAAAAGATACAATAAATATAAAAAGAAAAAGAAGAAAATAAAGAGAATGGGAGAAAAATATTAAGAAGTGGAATTTTGGAGAGACCAAAAGAAAATGGGGAAAAGGGGAAGAATAATGGAGAGGAGAGGAAATAAAGCATTTATTAGTTGATTTAAGGGACATGTATTAATAGTAGAAATTGTATGTAAGAAGTAAACAAGTAGTATATTGTTTATTGTAAAATGGATCAGCAGGTGTAATATGAAATGTAGATTGGTTTAAATATGAAAATAATGGAAATTAAGATACAAAATTGAAATGCTAGTAAATGAGGAAAATAATGGATATTGGAATAAGAAATTAGGAACTAAGGAAAATAAGAGGTGGAAGGTTAATTAAGTTAAAAGGTTTTAATATAAAAATGGAATCAGTTGAAATACATTGTTAATGATTAAAAAAATGTGATGTGGACTTTGAAAAATATAGTTAATAAGTTAATAAGTGGGGGAAAAAATCAGGGTTGCCTGGATACCATTGTGGAAAATATTGAATTGAAAATAAATACAATGAAAAGAGAATGGAAGTAGTAATAGAGGGAAGGAGAGGAGAGGAATAGAAGGGAAAAGGAGAGGAAGAAAGGGAGGGGAAATTAAGAGTATCTTAATCTATCCTGTCAATCTATCCCTATCTCTCTATCCATCACGTCTCCTATATCTACATTCATCTATCCATCTCCCATCCATCATGTGTCTATCATCCATCCATCTTATCTATCCCTATCTCCCCATTCATCATGTCTGTTATATCTCCATCCATTCATCCAATCTATCCATCTCCCCATCCATATTCCATCATTATTTATTTATTGGTTTGATTTATATGCCGCCCTTCTCCGGAGACTCAAGGCGGTTTACAATGCTTTTAAGCAATAGCCTTCATACTTTTGTATATACTTGCTTAGTAGGGCTTTTGCCCCTCCCCCAAGCGGTGTTCTTTTTTATACAAAGTCAGCTTATTGTCCCCCACAATCCGGGGCCTCATTTTACCTACCTCAGAAGGATGGAAGGCTGAGTCAACCTTGAGCCTGGTGAGATTTGAACTTGCTGTAATTGCAGGCAGCTGGTGCTACTTAACAGCACTTTACACAGTGCTTTAGTCTGCTGTGCCACCAAAGCTCTTTATCTATTCATCTATCCATCGACCTGCCAGAATATTCATGAACTGGCAGAGACACGGTAACAAGGTCAGCCAATGAGGGCTGTTTTGGAAACAGAAACTGAAGGAAGGAGTCTGGCCAAGGCTTAGCTCTGTGGTCAGCTCCAAAACAAAACTAGTCTGCTCTGAACTGAAGGCAGCCTCTCCTCTCTACCACGTTGGAAGAATCTGCTATTGGTATTGTACATTTACTCATGTGTTATTATGTATATAAAGAAGTTAATGAATCCTGCTGAATCAGTTATGTGTGTGTGCTTTCTGGATTTGATATTGGAACAAACATCGGCACCATCATCCAATCTACCTCTTATCTCCCCATCCGTCAACTATGTGTCTGTCTATCATCCCTCCCTCCCTCCCCAGAAGCCATCCTACCCCCAGTTTACACACAAAAACAAGAGGGATTCCAGGAGGGGCTGAAGACCCCTGCCCCATTTGTTTATTTATTAATTGGTGGGTTGATTGAGTCAATGTACGGGCTGCCCAGCGAGCAGCCACAGTCTCCTCCACGCTCCTTTCTCCCTTTTGTTCGAAAATCCACCCGAAACTGCTTTCCGTCCAGTCCTTTCTGTCTCCCCCCACCCCCCGGTGCAGCCCTCCCGATTTCCCCGTGGGGATACGGGTTCCCCCCCCCGCCTTGTCCTTCAAGCTGTCTTCTTTTTGACGTGGGCACAGTCGTATTTGCCCCGTATGATGCGAGCTTTGACGCCGGGCAGGTCCTGCTTGCGGCCGCCTTCCACCAGGACGGTCATGTGCTCCTGGAGGTTGTGTCCCTCGCCGGGGATGAAGCACACCAGCTCTTTGCCTGTGCTGAGCCGCACCAGGGCGCACTTCCGGTTGGCCGAATTGGGCTTCTTGGGTTTCCGGATCAGGACCTTCAAGACCACCCCTTTCAGCTGAGGATGCCCCTCCAGAGGGCCCGGGGGAGACGGGGGGCGCTTGGGACGACCCAGACGGTGCATCTGCGTCAGCGTGGCCATCCAGCGGGCGCCTGCGGGGGGGGGGGGGGGGGGGGGGGGGGGGGGGGGGTTAAGAATGGGGGGGCCAGTCATCCCCGGGCTCTCCCCTCTGCCCCAGTCTCTTTCTGCTCCCCCCCACCCCTCTGCCCCAAGGTTACCCGGGTCGCCCAGATCTCCCCTCCCAGCACCCCTGCTCCAGGAATCCCCAAATCCCAGGTCCCCCATTCTCCGTGGCTTACTCCCCCTGAATCCTCAGATGCCCCCTACTGGAACCCCGCCCTCCAAGGATCTGCACCCCGGATGCCTCCGAAACCCACCCGCAGGTCCTCTTCTCTCCCCCCCACAGGGTATCTGTTCCCCCCCACCCATCCCAAGGTCCACCCACAGTCCCAGGTCACCCTTCCAGAGGAGAAGTATCAGGTCTGGTTACCCCCCACCCAGGGCTCCCCGGTTGCCCCATCACCGGCCCCAGCCCCCCCCAAACTTTATCTCCCCCCCCCACTCCACGCTTGGCTGAGACTACCAGGTTACCCCGCCCCACAGATCCTCCCCAGCACACGCCCCCTCCCTCCCTCCCTCCCCCCCAAACCCCTGCTCCCTCCTCCCTGTAGCTTCCTCCCCCCCCCTCCCCCCAAGGTTAGGCCGGACCCCCAGATCTTCCCCATCGGCATTTCATCTGCAGGACCCCCCCCAATTCCCCATGACCCCTCTGACCCCCCCCCCATACCTCACTGCCCCCCCCCAGGCTCATACTTCCAGGTTACCCCGCCCTCAGGGTGCCCCCCAACCGCCCCCCCATCCCAGGACTTCCCCCCCACCCCAAGATCTGCCCACACTCTCAGGTTACCCCTCCCCCCAAGACCCCTCCCATACGTCCCAAAGCCCCCCCCGGCACCCACTCCCACACCCCGCCCCCTGGACACCCCCGCCCACGCTCCCACGTCACACCCTCCCCGATGCCCCCCCCCCCAAATTCTTCCCCACCGGCCTAGTAAGAACCCGGCAGCCGCCATCAGCGCAGGCGAGCAGAGAAGCGACGAGACTAGAGCGCCGCCGGAAACGCGGGAGGCGTGGCCCAGAAGTTCGAAACCGACCGGCCGACATGGCGCGCACTCATGCTTTTCCGGCCACTTCTAAACCGACTTCCGGCCGGTCCGGTCTTCACGTCTCTCTGGTAAGCGCGGCCACGCCGGAAGCTCCCTCGCCCGGCTTTCTTTTTTGTTTTTGTTTTTCCCCTTTACTCTCTGGTTCCTCACGCGGGGGGACTTCAACTCCCAGAGGACCCCGCGCCGAGAAGCCCGCCCCGCGGCCTGTCTCCTCCGCTGCCTGAGGGCAAAACGCAAGGCGGAGCATGCGCAGAAGGTGCTTGGCGGCCAGGCTTCTGAAGAATTTAAGCCCCTCCCCCAGAATTCGGGGTGGGGGAGGGGAAATGGGGGTATATCAATTTAATATAGGGAGTCCTCGATTTACAACCAACACAGAGCTCAACAGTTCCGTCACTAAGTGAGCGTCTTTCCTTGCCACCGTTGTTAAGTGAATCCCTGCCCTGTTTCAATGGGGACCTCGGAGGTCATCTAGACTGACCCCCTCCACAAGCACAGGAGACCCTTACAGAACCACAGAAGGCCGGAGCTGGAAGCGGCCTCGGAGGTCGAAAATTCATTCTAAAGATGAACTGGATCCCTCCCAGCTCTTCCCTTCCACGTTTCTTTTACGGAGTTATAGAACAGGCAGCGGATTGGACGGGAGGACCTCCAGCTCTAGTCCCATTGATTGATCTTCACTGTTCTCCCTCCTCCTCCTCCCAGCACTGATGCTGTTCCCTAGCTGGGTCGTGAAATGTCTTCAAGAAAACCACCCAGCTCAGAGAGCACCAAGGACCCCACAGTCCTCCCCCCTTCCTTCCTCCCTCTTTTCTTTCCTTCCTCTTTTCCTCCCTCCCTCCCTCCCTCTCTTCTTTCCTTCCTTCCTTCCTCTTTTCCTTCCTTCCTTCCTTCCCTCTTCTTTCCTTCTTCCTCCCTCCCTCTCTTCTTTTCCTTCCTTCCTCCCTCCCTCTCTTCTTTCCTTCCTCTTTTCCTTCCTTCCTTCCTTCCCTCTCTTCTTTCTTTCCTTCCTCTTTTCCTTCCTTCCTTCCTCCCTTCTCTTCCTTCCTTCCTTCCTTCCTCCTTCCCTCTCTTCTTTTTCCTTCCTTCTTTTTCTTTTCCTTCCTTCCTTCCTTCCTTCCTCCTTCCCTCTTTCTCTTCCTTCCTTCCTTCTTTCTTTTTTCCTTCCTTCCTTCCTTCCTTCCTTCCTTCCTTCCTTCCCTCTCTTCTTTCCTTCCTTCCTTCTTTCTTCTTTTCCTTCCTTCCTCCTTCCCTCTCTTCTTTCCTTCCTTCCTTCCTTCCTTCCTCTTTTCCTTCCTCCTTCCTTCCTCGTCTGAAAATAGGGTCTCCTGCTTGAGCAGGGGGCTGGACTAGAAGACCTCAGGGTCCCCTTCCAGCTCGATTCTGATTCTGATTCCCTCCCTCCCTCTTCTCCTCCTTACTTCCCCGTTGCGTGCAAAACAAGCAGCGTCTCCAGTGACCGGAATTTCCACCCGGGACTTTCCCGGTTGCGTAACTGCACTTGGCATCCTCCGCTGGCCTTGGATTGGAACCCGCGCGTGGGGAAAGCAGCCCAGACAAAGCCCCACCTTTTGGCTGGGATCCACGCCCCGCGGGCTCCAGGTCCGCTTTTGTTCTGAGTGGCCGGAGGTCCGCGCGTCTGAGCCACGAACCAGGAACCAGGCGGGTCTTTGCTCCGGGTCTTGCTTGGGGTGTGTCTCCTGCGACCTCCGCACCCCTTCCTCTTTGCCTCTGCCCCGCGGCAGCGCGGTGAGTGGCTCCCTCCACCTGCCCGCTTTGGGTTGGGGGGCTGGTAAGGGATCGAAATGGAGGGGGAAGGGAGGGACCTTGAGGTCTTCTAGTCCAGCCCCCTGCTTGAGGAAGGAAAACAGGTGTGGTGGCGTCTTGGGGAGCCAAGGGCTGCCCTGAAAGAGGCCGGGGCCTATCTGGGGGGGGGGGAGTCATCCACTGGGGGACCAAACTTCAAAGGCCAAATGCCTGCCATCCGTGGTGTGTGTGTGTGTGTGTGTGTGTGTGTGTGTGTGTGTGTGTAGGGAGAGAGGGAAGAGCAGTTCCAAGGCAAAGCAGGGATGCTGGGGGTGGGGGAGGAAGGGCTCTGGCCGCACCCTCCTTTGAAGACCTTTGGAGCCCCCAGAGGGAGTAGGGCAGCTCCCCCCAAGTGGGGCGGGTGGGGAGGCGGAGGTCCTATAGCCCCATATCCCCCTTGCCAGCTCTTATTAGCCAGAGGGCTTCCAAAAGACCCCTTTCCCACGCTCGCCACCCCCCTAATCTCCTCCCCTCCCCCTCCTCTGTCCCCGGCGGCTCTCTTGCAATCCAGAGGCTGAGACGTGCGGGGGGTAGGGTGGGGGAGGAAAGGGGGCGCAAGGAAAACCGGCCGACTGGGTTCGCCCCTTGCTTGGCAGTGGGAAACATTCCCCGTCCCCCCAAACGCTTGGTTTGCCTCCACCTTCCAACCAGTGGCAGTGAAAGTACAGGCTCCACCCCCTCTCCAGGTGCCCCACCCCTGTGTCATCCCCCCTCCCACCTGCGGGGTTTTCCACCTGGCTCTCGCCTGTCGTCCTCTGCCCACCACTGCCATTTTTCTCTCCCACCGACTTGCTAGGAAGAAGAAACAGCGTGGGGAGTCATGGCGGGCACCACGTTGAAGATCGACGGGACCGAGGTGGCCCTGGGGGGCTCTGGGGACTCTGGGGGGACCGTAGTTAACATCACCCTCCACCAAGAGTCCGGGATGGCTTACCTGTGCAAAGGTGCAGCCTCTCTGGTTCGCCACCGAGCAGCCGCCAAGGATGACACCGGCGCTCTCCCCTCCCGCCGCCCACGTGGGGGGGAGCAGAAAGTCTTCGGGGTAAGATCTGGGGACGGGGGTTGGGGTGGGGGTTCAATCCTGTGAACAGTGGATCGGATGGGGGTCTTGCCTTGCCGAGCCTGGAGGGACCAAATCAGCTGTTTATCGTAACCACAATACCGATTTGATTAGTTTATAGTATACATCACACAGCCAAATAATAGGAAAAAGGGGGGAGGAAAAAGGGAAGGGCAGAGTGTAGAAGAGAAGAGAAAAAAGAAAGAAGAGGCATTGACATTTGACTCTATTAAAATACACATAGTCCTTGACGGTTCGTTTTGCAACCGTTCGACATGTATAACGGCACTGGAAATAGTTGACGTACAACCCTTTTCCCCCCTACACTTACCTTGCAATCAGGCAATCAAAATTCAGATGCTTGGCCGCCGATTTGCCTTTATGACGGTCACGGGGTCTGTGGGGGGATTTCCCATGATCGGTCCCCTTTTGCAACCTTCTGGCGAGCAGCCAAGTCAGTGGGGAAACCAGATTCACAGAACAACTTCCTAATTGAACACCTGCCGTGACTCACTGAACGACAGTCGTAAAATGACTCTCTTTTGGTCATAAGTTGTGGACTCCCTGTAAGATTGTAACATCGAACCTTCACTTTTTACCTTTTGGCCATTTCTATATCAACAAAGCTCATCGGGAAACCCAAACTCGCTTTTCATGGGTTTTTCCCCCCTATCACGAGCAGAAAGTCCAGAAACGGTTTCCAAGTAGAAACAAAAGTAATTGTGGGGTTTTTTGTTCTTTTATCAAAGTAGGAGAGAGGCAAGAACTCTGTAGATGCTCAGTGGTGCCTCTCCACCTGCATCGTGACCCCCCCTCCCCTTCCTCCAAGCCTCAGACCAGAGGCAGTTCCAAGCAGGGTTCTCACTAAGCCGAACCGCCGTGCCCACCTAAGATCTTTTCGGCAATCCTTAACCTGATCCTGGCACATTCATCCACTGGGGTTTCGCACCCTGAGCCAAGCCAGGAAGGAGCCGAGGGGTTGTTCCTCTTTCTTGGTTCCGGCCACAAATGGAATGGGAACCGGGTCCAGTCAAGTCTCCAGCTAACTTCTCCTGGTTTCTCTACCCCCCATGGTAACCCCACTCTGATCCTCTTGTGCTGGGGTTACCTGTGCTCTCCACTCTCCTCCCCCCATAGGTAGCCCAGATTCTGCTTGGCGTTGTCTGCATTGGCATTGGCGTGGCACTGAGCATGGTTGAGCCAAACAGTTACTTACCCTACTACTACAAGCGGGCAATCTATAACGGAGTCCCTTTCTGGTCAGGCAGCCTGGTGAGCACTGGGGGGTGGGTGGGGGAAGAATGGGTGTGGGAGGAGGAGCCCCCTGGGTCTCAGCTGGCCTCCCAAGAACCTGCAGGGGAGGATTGGGGGGACGGTACAAAGATGGCATACCAACACGGCCATGAGGGAGGCTGGACTGCGGCCTTGCAGACATCTCTAGGAGTCAGTCCAGTGGCCAAGGGGATGGTGTCCAGGCCTATGGGTGGGGGGCTCGCTTCCTGCTGGCAGACAGGGAGGGAGGCCCCGATAGACATCACCCCTCACCTGTCGGCTTCCCTCCCTCCACAGTTCGTTCTCTCTGGCACCTTTTCCGTGGTGGGCGCACGACATGGTGGCAACTGGGTAAGTGGGGAGGATCCTGTCCCTGACCTGTCGCAAGGACCTGGTGCTCATTCTCAGCTTTGCCCTTCCTCGCCTCTTAGGTTCACCTGGCCACGTTTCTCAACCTGGGCAGTGTCGTGGCAGGCTCGGTGGCCTTCACGGTGGGTTTGACGGAATTCCCATCGCCGACTTACGAACCTTACTTCCTCGAGAGCCTCTGCAAGCACAGAGCGGAGGACCGGAGCTACCAGTACTGGGAGGCGACAACCAGCCCTCCGTATGACAACCAGAGGGATCAAGGGCGGGCCAGGCAGTGCCAGGAGATGCTCTGGGCACTCGTGGTGAGTGTGTCTTTCCCCGGAGAGAGAGGCGGGCAGCGACGCCCTGTAGAAGATGGCAATCCCAGGACAGGACCTTCGAAGTATGGTCCTCCCTCTGTCGGGCTGTCTTGAATGTCAGGCTGAGGGGCAGGCAGGGCTCACATGTCCTCAGGTGGCTTCTAGTGGACCGGGCATGGGTGCATGTGGCCAACCACTTGCCCCCACTCTTTCTAATTTGAGCCCCCTCCCTCCCCAGCTCATGTGGAGCTCCACCCATATCCTCCTGTTGATCCTGCACTCTGCCGCTCTGGCCATCGCTCTCTTCTGCTTCGGATATGGCCTCCGTCACTTGTGCTGCTCCTGCTGGGTAGGTCGACGGAAGGGCGCAGGGTTCCTGGCCCCGGTGAACACAGCCGGGTTGGGCACTCTGGAGGGCAGGGCCCCCTCTCCAGAGAGCCATCGTGGGAGGGGGCGAGAGGGTTGCACCCGCCTGGGCTCCCTGGCTGTTGTCACTCCCGGTACTCCAGAAAAGTTCACACTGCATTGCTCGGCGTCATAAGAAGAGCCGGTACAGATCGTCCTAAACTCACAAGAGTTCGTTCAGTGACCATTCGAAGTGACAGCAACACTGAAAGTGTTAACCACCTTTGTCGTATCCCACGGTCCTGCTTTCGAATGTCAGACACCGGGCGAGCGGTTCACACTTCTGACCGTTGCTGCGTCCCAAGGTCGCACAATCCCTATTTGCAAGCAAAGTCCGTGGAGGAAGCTGGATTCGCTTAACAATTGGGTTTATGGATTTCTGAACGTGGTGGGGATTCACTTAACGAGAGGGGCGACAAACATCATAAAACGGGAGCAAAACACCCAGAATGAAAGAAATAATGGGCTCGAGGAGGGGCACCTTCTTCTGGGGGCACCTTCCGTCTGGATTGGAGTGAACGGGGGTGGGGAGTGTTTCATAGCCACTGACCAGTCCTGGGGAAGACGTTGTAAGCTAGGTGCGTTTTTCTTTTCCTTGCAGGGGGGCTGGCAGGACTACATGGCCATGGAGGATGCAGATGCGTCCGAAGAGCCGGGCAAAGAGCAGAACCCCGCCTGAAGGGTACGGACGGAGGCCCCCCCACCCCGCCCCAGCTTTTGGCTCTTCCTGGGGACCGAACGGTGGTCCAGCACTTCCCGAACTCGGATGCTCCCTTCGTTGCTTCTCACGCCAACCAACTCTCCTCCTTGCACACCCAATTAATAAAAGTTGAATTTCTGGAATTTTAGCTCCTGTCTCTCTGGCGGGACAGCTGAACTCAGGACTCCGAGGGGCACGTGGGGCAGAGGGTGTCACGTGTCCCACTTAGTTTAATTAACTTCCTTTTTCCAAGAGTAGACTTTACCGCATGGCTGTCAAACTTGCCACGTCACGTGGACGCCATGTGACGTATCGTTTTTTTTGCCCGCGTGGTCTGTGCATGACGCATCCAGCCCGCGAGCGGCCAGTTGGACACCCTGCTCTACTGAGAGCAAAGCAGTTCCACATCAGAGCAGGGGTCCCCAATCCCCCGTTCTGTGGACCGTCACTGGGCCGCAGCATGGCAGAAACTGGGCTACGCAAGCAGAGGAAGTATCCCATTTGCGGAATGCAGGCAGCCACGAAACCACGTTCCCTCCGTTTGCGGAAAACCCTCTCTTCACAGAACCCAGAACGGTTGGGGGGAGGGGCACTGGACTAGATGATCTCTCCGAGGCCCCTGGAAACTTGCCTTTGCTATCAGGAGTTGTAGAGAGGTGTGATGGGCGCAGAACGGTGTCTGGGTATGAAAGGCCAAAGGGCTTTGCAGCCTAAGCTGGGGCTGGGCTAGAAGACCTCCAAGGTCCCTTCAATGCCCATCGCATCTCTGCCAGCTGCCCTGTTACCGCTTGGACCAGGAGACCCCTGTGCAGGATGAGTTGGTGGAGGGAGCTGGTTCTCTGTCCCTCCCCCCACCCCCGCCTTGCTTCTCCTGGCTCCACTTTAGAACCAGCTGCCCCTCCTGCCAATGCTGCCCACTATGATGGAACTTCTCTTTGACTCCCCCTTGACAAAGAAACAAGGATTCTCTCTCTCTCTCTCTCTCTCTCTCTCCCTCCATCCATCCATCCATGATTCTCCGACGAGAGGGAGTTGAAGAGCGGAGCAGATCCCAATATATATTGGGGAGGGGGAGGGGAGAAACCAGCTTCGCCCGCCTTTCTCTCCGCAGCCGCCGAGCGGAGCTGCTGTCCGAGACGACCCTGGCCGATGCCAAGCGGGGAGGGCAGGGGAAAGGGGGGGGAGGGGAAGCAAGGCCAGGGGCTGGGTAGGGTGGGCTGAGCGCCGCGGGGACTGCTGGGAGTCGTAGTCCTCCCTCCCTCCCCAACAAAGGCGGCGGCAGCGGGCGGAGAGAACGCCCCTTCTCCGGGCGCCCAGGTGTTTCCCTGGCATCGCAGCCCCCTCCCCACACCACGTTCCGGCCAGGTAAGGGGAGGGGAAAGAAAAGGCTCCTTAGAGGTGGGGGGCGCCACCCCGCCCCCTTCCCTGCCCCCCCCCCCCGGAGGCCCCTCCCGACCCCTCGAAGACCCCCATAGCCGCCTGTTGGACAGCTCCGTCGGAGCCCGTTTGAAGGGGAGACTCCCTCCCCAAATGCAACGCCGGCCACCACAAGGGGCGCCTGCTTTTCCCGATGCCCCCGTCCCGTCCCGTATCCCTGCAGGGTTCGCAGCCGCCCTTTGGAGCGGGGGGCTCCCCTCCTCGCCGGAGCGGAGAGAGGAAAAGAGGGGTAGGGGGTCTCCCGCCAGGGGTGGGTTGGGGGCTACGGCTCGGAGGTCCGGGGGGTCCGAATTCCCCGGGAAGGGGGACCCCGAACTGCGGATCTCCCCCCCCACCCTATCCTCGAAGCTTTCGGGGCGGTGGGCTCTTTTTTGGGTTCGGGGGTCTGGGGTCTTAACGGCAGGGAAGGAGTCTGGCCGCCCCCCTCCATTGTCTTCCTCCGGGGGGCCCCTCCCACCTTCGCGTGATTTGGGGAGGGGGGCACTGCCCGCGTCATGTTTGAACCTTTTGATGCCGGGACCCCCCCCGCCGCCCCCCGCTAAATTAAGGAGAGGAAGGGATAGGTTAGCAACGAGGCATTGGCTGTCGCGGGCGGGGGAGGGGGGCATAGGCAGGCAGGGAGGCGAGCCTAGCCTGTGCTTGGCCGGGCTTGCTTCATGCTACACTGATGAGGTTACCTACTTTGGTAATGAGACGTCTGGAAGGAAACCACCATGCTTGGAGAGCACCAGGGAGCCCACAGTCCTCCTCTCCTCTCCTCCTCCCCCTCCTCCCTTTTTCCTCCTCCTCTTCCTCTTCCTCCTCTCCACAAACTCCATTCCCTTCTAGCACTGATGCTATTCCCTAGTTGGGTCGTGAAACATCTGCAAGAAAAGCACCCAGCTCAGAGAGCACCAAGGACCCCACAGTCCTCCTCCTCCCCTCCTCTTCCTCCTCCTCCTCCTCCTCCCTTCTAGCACTGATGCCGTTCTCTACTTCGGTCACAAAACGTCTCCAGGAGAACTAAGCCAGCTCAAAGAGAATCAAGGACCCCACAGCGGTCCAGATCTCTGCCAACGAATGCCACCCTCTGATTCAGCGGCCCAGATGGGCAGCTTTTCGGATCCCCCAAAGCCCAGGTGTTCTTCCACGTCCTACTTAACCGGCTTCCGATCCTCTCCATGTCTTGCCAGAAGATGGTCTCCTGAAGATGCTCCCATGGTGGACGAGAAGACCAGAGCCGGACTTGCGCTTGGGATGGTTCCGATCTAGTACGCTTGGCGTTGGGACCGCCCCTTCTTCCCTCTCCCCGTTTTAGTGTCCGACGTGTCCGAAGGTAGGAAGGTTCACGCAAAGGAGGGGAGGAGTCCAGATTCCCCTGGAAAATTAATTGCTTCAACAATGTGAAATCCTTGGGGGACCTTTGGAGGAAGTGGGGTGGTGACCCCCCATGTGAGAGGAAAGTCAACTTAATTTGACCATTCATTTATTTTGGCCAACGTTGTTCTCTGAAACGCTGGAAGGCAGGATGAGAAACGACGGATGGAAACTCACTCAGGTGAGAAGTAACCTGGAACTAAGGAAGAATTTCCTAACAGGGAGGACAATTAACCGGTGGAACTGCTTGCCACCAGAAGTTGTGGGTTGTTCCAACACTGGAGGTCTTTAAGAAGAGACCAGACAGCCATTTGTCTGGAATGGGATACAGCAGTGATGGCTAACCTTTTTGCCATCGCGTGCCAGGAAGGGGGTGGGGTGGGGGAGGTTCGTGCACACTCGTGCCCACACCCATAATTCTATGCACCCTGCCCCATGCATGCTCACCCTCCCTCACCCCCTGCTCCTGGCACGTGATGGCCTCCCTAGGAGTCTCTGGAGGCTGGGGACAGCAAAAAACGTCACTCTCTGTCCAACTGGAAGTTGGGAAACAGGCCGTTTTGGGCCTCCGAGGGGGTGAGGAAAGCTGTTTTCACCCTCCCCAGACGCATAGGGAGGATCTGGAGCCAGGTGAGAAAGAAAAACGGGCTTTCCCCACCCCTCCACCCCCAGGCCCTCCGGAGGCAGGAAACAGCCTGTTTCCCTATGCGCGCGCCAGAGTTGCGCTGGCATGCCCACTGATATGGCTACGCCTGCCACCTGTGGCACGCATGCCATAGGTTCGCCATTATGGGGATAGGGTCTCCTGCTTGAACAGGGGCTTGGACTAGATGACCTCCAAGGTCCCTTCCAGTTTTGTGATTCTGTGATTCTGTAAGGGTCTCCTGCCTGAGCATGGGATTGGACTAGATGACCTCTGAGGTCCCTTCCAGCTCTATTCTGATTGATTGATTGAGGGGGGGAAGGGAGGGGCGTCTAGGAAACAGCAGAGGCAACTTGGGACAGCGACAGATAGTCCTCTACTTACGTCCACAATTGAGCCCCAAATGTCTGTTGCTAAGCGAGACATCTGTGAAATACGTGTTGCCCATTTTACAACCTTTCTTGCCACTGTTGCTAAGTGAATCTCTGCTATTGTTAAGTGAGTCGCCCAATTGTTTAGTGAATCTGGCTTCCCCTTTGACTTTGCTTGACACTGCGACCGTCATAAACACGAGTCCGTTGCCAAGTGTCTGAATTTCTATCATGTGACATTGGGGAGGCTGCGATGGTCTTATGTATGAAAAACGGTCATAAGTCAGTTTATCACTTCGAGCGGTCACTAAATGAACTGTCATAAGTTGAGGACTGCCAGTGCCTGTAATGTGAGCATTTGGAACCTCCCCAGTTGAATGCAGAGCTACACGTATTTGATTCTCTCTAACATCCTGCCCTGCACAACATCCCTTCTAGCACTGATGATGTTACCTAGTTGGGTCGTGAAACGTCGGTAGGTAGGGAAGTGATGGGTCACTGGAGGTCAGAGGGGAGATTCATCCTCCTTCACTTATGACATCTGCTCCTGCCCCAGACAGGACCCGCTGATGTGACCCTCTTGGTCAGAGAAGAGAAGCAGGACCCCTGGCCGCTGCGAGAAGATGGAGACCCATTGGGTAAGGCCCAGCCCAAGCAATGCAGGTGAGCGACTGCCAGGTGAGAGTCTCTCTCAGGCCCCCTCGGAATTGGGATGATCCAGATGAGGAGGGGGACACAGGAGATGGGGTGGAGGGGTGGGACGTCCGACAAATTTCCTGAAGGTCAGACTCACTCCTGGGATGGAAGCGCTCCTGGCTGAATTGCAATTTGATAGCCTCGCCTGTACGGGTAAGCCCTCGGCCTACGGTCACGATCGAGCCCAAAATGTATGTCACTAAGTTAAACTTTGGTATTTTGCCCCATTGGACCAGCTTTCTTGCCACAGGCGTTAAATGAATCATTGCAGTTGTTCAGTGAGTCACACAATTGTTAAGCGAATCGTTGCAGTTAATTTGGGCACAGTTGTTAAGTGAATCACTGCAGTTGTTAGGTGAGTCACACTTATTAAGTGAATCGTTGCAGTTGTTCAGTGAGTCACACAGTTGCTAAGCGAATCGTTCAAGTTGTTAAGTGAGTACACAGTTGTTAAGTGAATTGGAGTTAATTTAGGCACAGTGGTTAAGTGAATCATTGCAGTTGTTAAGTGAGTCACACAGTTGCTAAGCGAATCATTGCAGTTGTTAAATGAGTCACAAAGTTATTAAGTGAATTATTATGGTTGTTAAGTGAATCATTGCAATTGTTAAGTGAGTCACACAGTTATTAAGCGAATCCTTGCAGTTGTTAATGGAGTCACATGGTTGTTAAGTGAATCTGGCTTCCCCATTGACTTTGCTTGTTGGAAGGTCGCAAAACAGAATCGCGTGAGTCTGGAACCCTGCGACCGTCATCAATACGAGTCAGTTGCCAAGCGTCTGAATTTTTGTGCCCGCAACCGCAGGGATGCTGCGATGGTCATAAGTGCAAAACAGGGTCTCAAGTCCCTTTTCTTCACTGCCATGGTGACTTTGAACGTGGACTAAGCGAACTAACCCTTGTAAGTGGAGGTCGTTTCTCCTTGATCGGCCTTGTGCTTGCCACTTACCTCCCTGGGCCTCGCGGCACATGCGAGTGAAACAACCGTCCCCTCTGACGGACACCAGAGACCCCTTTATCTGGGGATCCCCCCCTTTCCGGCTCCCTTGTAAGGTGTGTGTATACGGGAGGGGGTCTTCCTGCCCGTCCGCTAACAGCCTTTTGTTCTGGAGGGGGAATGGCACCCCCTCTATGGGTTGCCCCACTGTGGCCCCCTCCCTGCCTTTCCCCTCGGCAGAGTTTAAGTTTCACCAAGTCTTGAATTTAGAGGAGGAGGCTTCCTCCTCTGGCAGACCCCCCCCATCTAGGTAGAGGAGTAAGGAGGTGTGTGGTTGTCCCGGCTGCCTGCCCAGAGCGGGGGGGGGGGGGCAAGACCTCTTCCTCCTGATTGGCCTGGAGTCTCAGAGCCCCATTCCCTTGTCTTGCTCGGGGTTGTTGGTTGTCTTGGCTTCCGAACTTCAGGAGTGGGACTTGGGGGAGGGGGAAATGAGGAACATAGCTGTGGCCCCTGTGCCTTGACTGGGCCCCCCTCCCTCCTCCAGGGGCCAAAGTGGCAGTGAAGGAGGAGCCGGGGGAGGAGTTGTGCATCGGGTGTCCACTGGACCCAGCCGAGCCAGGGAGGCTGTCACCATCAAGCCCCACAGCAGGTAAGGCCTGATGGCGAAAACAGTTAACCGGTGGAACAGCTTGCCACTAGAAGTTGTGGGGGCTCCATCCTTGGAGATTTTCAAGGAGAGAATGGACAGCCACTTGTCTGGAATGGTAAAGGGTCTCCTGCTTAAGCAGGGGGCTGGACTAGAAGACCTTTGAGGTCCCTTCCAACCCTGTTATTCTCTTATTCTGAATGGTATAGGTCTCCTGCTTAAGCAGGGGGTTGGACTAGATGACCCCCAAGATCCCTTCCAATTCTGCCATTCTTTAATTGTTCTTCTAGTCCAAGCCCCTGTTCAAGCAGAAGACCATATACCGTTGCTGACCAATGACTGTCCAGCCTCTCCTGAAAAACTTGTGCCACGGGAAGCGGGGTTTTCACAAACCACCCCAGACGGGACCCTGATGCCTGCTCCAGGTGTGGTCTTCATCCTCCGGGAAGTGTGGCACCTGCATCTCCAGGATGAGGGGGCAGGCACTGCACCGCTGCCCCAACAACACAATTGTGCATCTTGTTCCAGGGATCAAGAAGGAGCTGGAAGAACCGTTGTACCGCGTCGGTCTCTGGGAGGACAGCGATGGGGGGGCCAGCACCGATTCCAGTGAGTTTGTCTGGCCTCAACGCTCTGCCTGAGTAGAGCAGCAGGTGCCAGATGTGGGGTGTGTTCCCCAATGAGGCTGCTGTTCCCCCTTCCCCCTTCCCTGCTGACCCACCTCTCTCCTCCTGTCCCCAGTGGACACCAAGCCCGACGTTATTGTGAAGATGGAACTGGAGGAGGAGGAAGAGGACGACAATGACGAGGTGGGCAAGGAGGACTTTGGCTGCTCCCCGCCTCCTAGGCCTGCCCACCTGGGTGAGTTTGACCCACTCTTGGAGAACTAGTTTGGGACTTGCAATCTGCCTATGATTCATTAACAGCTGTTACATCAGTTCAGAGGCTTGCACTGTGCCTAAGACAGAGGTCCACAATCCCGAGGATGCAACCCACTTTGTGGAACCTGCCTGGGCTCCATTTTTGGCCGTGATGGCCTCCCTGGCATCTGTTTTCGCTGGCAGAGGGCTGCAAGAGGCCGTTGCGGCTGAAAACAGAGCCCAGGCAGGCCACGAGAGGCCCTCCTGAGCTCCATTTCTGCTGGCAGAGGCACCGTGGACCAGTCCTTCGCTGTTTCCAGGGTGGCCGCATGGGCCAGATGTAAGCACCCCGTGGGCTGGATCCGGCACACGGTTCTTGAGTTAGACACCTCTGTCCAAAATTGGGTCCCCCTCAATCCCCGGACCTTGAATCTTTCGGAACCAGCCCACAGAAGTGGCGAGCGAGAGTGTGCATCCCCACTCACGTGAGCAGCAGGTGAGCACATGCTCAAATCCTCTGTTTGCAAGCGTGGCACGCACAAATGCCTGTCAGTCCCACGGAACCATCCACTCTCCCCTGCCTCTGCTGGTGTGCAAAGTCAAAAAGATATAGGAACTCTGTCCTAGATCACCCTGCTAATTCTTCTTTCTCCTCTGCTAGCCGGATGCGTGGACCCAAGTAGCAATGTGTCGCATGGAAAGATGGGTCAGGAGCCATGCAGAAAGAGCGCGGACGGAACTCCTTCTCGGGGTTCATCGAAGAGGAAACACAGCACATCTCGGTGGGCGCAGTCGAGATCTCCTGGGATTCGGAGTGCGGCTCCAGCACCCATGCCTGCATCTGGAGGATCTTTCAGAGCTGCCGAAACAGTGACAGTGGTTGTCTCTGGGGCGGCTGAAGCCCACCGGCGCCCCAAGAGTTCTGCCAATGAGCGGCCTTTTGCCTGCAGTGTCTGCGGGAAGCGGTTCCAGCACCGGGGCAACCTGGTGACCCACCTGCGGGTCCACACAGGAGAGAAACCCTTCCCTTGCGCCGAGTGCGGGAAGAGCTTCAGCCAGAAGGGGGACCTGATGCGCCACCTGCGTGTCCACACAGGGGAGAAGCCCTTCGAGTGCCCCGTCTGCGGCAAGAGCTTCTGCTCCAAGCAGACCTTCGTCCTGCACCAGCGCATCCACACGGGTGAGAAACCCTTCTCCTGCCCTGAATGTGGGAAACGCTTCAACCGCAAAGCCAACTTCGTCACCCACCAGAAGATCCACCGAGGCGAGCGGCCCTTTGTCTGCGGCGAGTGCGGCAAGGGCTTCTGTGCTCGGAAGACCTTTATCCTCCACCAGAAGATCCACGTGGGCGATCGGCCCTTCGTCTGCCTTGACTGCGGGAAGAGCTTCAGCCGTAATGGGGATCTCACCCGGCACCAGCGCATCCACACTGGTGAGCGGCCCTTCACCTGCGCTGACTGCGGGAAGAGCTTCAGCCACAATGGGGAACTGATCAAGCACCAACGCATCCATACCGGCGAGAAGCCCTTCTCCTGCGCTGAGTGCGGGAAGAGCTTCAACCGCAAGGGCACCCTCGTCACCCACCAGCGCATCCACACTGGTGAGCGTCCTTTTGTCTGCGGCGAGTGCGGCAAGACCTTCAACCTGAAGACCACCCTGATGAAGCACCGGCGCATCCACACCGGCGAGCGGCCATTCACCTGCCTAGAGTGCGGGAAGAGCTTCAAGTACAAGGGGAACCTACGGACTCACCACTTGACGCACACGGTGGAGCGCGTGTACCCTTGCACCGAGTGTGGCCTGGTGTTCGGTCAGCGGAAGGAGCTGAAGGGGCACCAAGCAGCCCACGTGGGGGACTGCTTGCTGCCCTGCTACCGGGACGACGGGGAAAACGTGAACCCCTTCCTCCAGGTGCACCCTCTCCTCCTCTCCTGCTCCCCGCTTCCTGTGCCCCTGGAGACCCTGACCAACTTCAAGCAGGAAGCTGGCAGCAAAAGCCTTGGATTTGAGGATGCCAATGCTTAGACTTGGGGTTGAGAGGGGGGAAGGCACTCTTTAATTGATATCCGGGACACTGTTTTTGGGGTGAACAATGTAGCAACCCGCTGTGCTCGGCCGCAGGAGAGAGGCTGGCAGAGAAGGATGCTGCCTTGGGGTGGCGGTGGTGGTACTTTTGGCCCTAGTATGGCAGCCTCAGCCACGAAGGAAGCTGACCATACGGAAGCAGTTATGATTCAGGGTAGGCAGTTGCCAAATCCTTAGTTTAGCAAACTGCGCAGTTACTAGGGGATAGTCAGTTGGCCATTAGGCGGTGCTTCCCAGCTCGTAGAAGGAGGAGGAAGGCTTGAGTCCCCGAAAGTAACAGGGGATCGGTAGAAGCAACATGAAATGAAGGATCGTAAGGTATGGAGTGGCTTTTCTGAAACGGAGGCCAGGGGGCAACTGCTGAGGTAGCCAAAACCAATAAAGCAACATGATTCAAGAGCAAATGACTGACATCACTCCTTGGGGGCGGTGTGTGTGTGTGTGTGTGTGTGTGTGTGTGTGTGTGTGTGTGTGTGAAGAGGAAGAGCTGGTGGTGGGGGCTCCTCTGGGTTGCTCTTGTGAGGGGGAGGGGGGAAAGGCACAAGCTCACCTTATATCTGGAAAGAAAAATGGCCGAACAGATCATGGGTTGTCTAGCACAGTTTGTCGCTTGACGGCCTGGCTGGGGTGGGGGAAGGGGAACCGGGCCCTGTGAGTGGTGGGCTGGTGGGTGGGTGGGTGCACACACAGCTTGGCTGCATGGCTGACTGGCTGATTAACTGATTGATTGACTGACTGATTAACTTGCTGACTCATTGATTGACTGACTGACATTGATGGACTGCCTGCCTGATTGATTACCTGATTGATTGGTTGATTGATTGATTATCTGACTGATTGACCGACTGATTAACTCACTGACTCATTGATTGACTGACTAACTGATGGACTGACTGACTCTCTAACTGATTGACTGAATAACTGAGTGATTGACTGATTGATTGATTGATTGACTGACTGACTGACATTGATTGACTGACATTGATTGATTGCCTGATTGGTTGGTTGGCTGATTGATTATCTGACTTGACTGACTGACTGATTAACTCAGTGACTCATTGATTGACTGACTGATTGACTATCTAACTGATTGACTGATATTGACTGAGTAACTGACTGATTGATTGATTGACTCTGACTGATTAATTCACTGACATTGATTGACTGACTGACTGATTGATTAACTGACTGATTAACTAATTGACTGATTAACTGATTGATTAACTGACTAATTGATTGACTAATTGATTGATTGACTGATTGATTGGTGGATTGATTGATTTCAAGGGCCACCCACCCACACGTAAAACACTCTGGGCATCTTAGGAGGGTCTCCTTTCATTTCTCCCCCAAGAAAAGATGAAGCCTCCGGAAGCCTTAAACCAGATTCCCGATTTCCCAGACAGGAATCCTTCCTTGGTTGATCAATTCTCCTTGATTAAAAAACATGTCAAAAGTCTTGGTTTTAAGAAACCTCACTGCCCCAGGGGTATTCTCCCCACACAACCCACTGCATCTAGGGCAGACTCCTTCCACATACGGTAGTCCTCGACTTACGACAGTTCACTTAGTGACCGTTCCAAGTTACGACGGCCCTGAACAAAGTGACATAGGACCATTGTTCAGACTTACAACCGTTGCAATGCCTGCAGGGTCACGCAATCAAAATTCAATCGCTGGGCAACTGGCTCCTATTTACGACGGTCGCAGTGTCTCTGGGTCACATGATCCCTTTTTGGCAACCTGGCCCTGAGCCAAATTCCCCGGGGAAGCCCGATTCGCTTCCCGAACGTGTTCCTAACGTATGGTCGTAAAACAGGGCAGAATGCATTTAACAAATGTGTCACTGAGCATCAGGAATTTCAGGCTCAATTGTGGTCATATGTTGAGGACTACCCCCCTCTCTCTTTCTCTCTCTCTTTTTTTCTCTCTTTCTCTCTTTCTCTCTCCCTTTCTCTCTTTTTCTTTTTCTCCCACTTTTTCTTTCTTTCTCTCTCTCTTTCTCTCTTTCTCCTACTCTCTTTCTCTTTCTCTCTCTCTCTCCCTTTCTCTTTTTCTCTTTCTCCCTCCCTCTCTTTCTTTTTCTTTCTCTTTCTCTTTCTCTCTCTCTTTCTTTCTCTCTCTCTCTTTCTCTTTCTCTTCCTCCCTCCCTGCCTCTCTTTCTTTTTCTTTCTCTTTTTCTTTCTCTCTCTCTTTCTTTCTTTCTCTCTCTCTCTTTCTCTTTCTCCCTCCCTCCCTCTCTTTCTTTTTCTTTCTCTCTTTCTCTTTCTCTCTCTCTCTTCCTTTCTCTCTCTCTCTTTCTCTCTTTCTCCCTCCCTCCCTCCCTCCCTCTTTCTTTTTCTTTCTCTCTTTCTCTTTCTTTCTCTCTCTCTTTCTTTCTTTCTCTCTCTCTTTCTCTCTTTCTCTTTCTCCCTCCCTCCCTCTTTCTTTTTCTTTCTCTCTCTCTCTTTCTCTCTCTCTCTCTTTCTTTCTTTCTCTTTCTCTCTCTCTCTCTTTCTCTCTTTCTTTCTCCCACTCCCCCATTTCTCACTCACTCACTCACTCACTCACTCACTCACTCACTCACACATATCAGATAATTTAAAAACCCTGAAAATCTTTTTTTTTTTGGGAGGGGATATGAATTTGTCCTCTGCATGTTTTTAAAAGCTGAACGTGTTTTCCCTGATTAAGGTTCTCTTGGGAGGGATCTTTGAAGCCAGCCCCTCTCCCCCTCCCCACCCTTTGGCACCATGGAGCAGGGTGAAGGGACGGGAGCTGCCAGATCAGCTCCATCTATTCTCCAAAGAGCACCAGAAGGCCAGACAAGAAGCAAACTCACCAAGGAAAGATGCAACCTGGAATTAAGGAGAAACTTCCTAACAGGGAGGACAATTAGCTGGTGGAACTGCTTGCCACCAGAAGTTGTGGGTATTCAATCACTGGAGGCTTTTAAGATGAGACTGGACAGCCATTTGCCTGAAATGGGATAGGGTCCCCTGCTCAAGCAAGGGATTGGACTAGATGACCTCCAAGGTTCCTTCCAGAGGTGGGTTTCAGCAGGTTCTGACCAGTTCTGGAGAACTGGTAGCAAAACTTTTTGAGTGATTTGGAGAACCGGTAGTAAAAATTCTCACTGGCCCCACCCCCCTCTATTCTCTGCCTCCTAAGTCCCAGCTGATTTTGGGGATTTTGCAGTAACCTTCCTCTGGATTGGGGACAGGGGTGGGTTCTACTTACCTTTACTACTGGTTTGCAACGGGGCCGTGAGCCCATGCTTGCTTCGCTTGCGTGCGTGCTCTTCTGTGCATGCGCAGAAGCATTTCGATGACACTGGGGTCGGTGGGCGGAGCCTCCCGCCAGTTTTACTACCGGTTCTATAGAACCGTGTGAACCGGGGGCAACTCACCACTGATTGGGGACAGAGAGGACATTTTTTTAAAAAAAATTTGATTTATATGCCGCCCTTTTCCGGAGACTCAGGGCGGCTTACAGGAGATTTTACAGTATCCTTCCCCTGCCACGCCCACCAAGCCACACCCACCAAGCACCGCCCACAGAACCGGTAGTAAAAAAATTTGAAACCCAGCACTGGTCCCTTCCATGTCTGTTATTCTGTAAGGATCTCCTGTTTGAGTAAGGGATTGGACTAGAAGACCTCCGAGGTCCCTTCCAACTCTGATTCTGTTCACAGCCGACAGAACAGTTCCTCAGTCCAGCTGCTGGGAGTCTCTGGTGGGGCCGGAGTTGGAGCAGAAGATGGAAAAGAAGGAGATGGGGAGGAGGAGGAGGAGGAAGAAAAACGGGAGGAGGAAGAGGAAGGAGGAGGAACAGAAAGAAGAGGGAGGAGGAGGAAAAGCAGGAGGAGGTAGGGAGGAAGAGGAGGAGGAAGAAGGAAGGGGAAGAAGAAGAGGAAGAAGGAGGAGGAAAAGCAGAAGAAAGAAAAGAAGGAGAGGAGGGGAGGAGGAAGAGAAGGAGAAGTAGAAGCAGCAAACAGATGGGGAGGGGGAGGAGGAAGAAGAGGAGGAAGAAGAGGAAGGAGGGGGAAAAGCAGAAGAAGGAGAGGAGAAGAGGAAGCTAACAAGCTGCTTAACAATCAGCATCCACAAGAAAGCAGGCACCTGGGAGTCCTGCATTACAACTATTGTGACTTCCAACCATAAAGGCCAGTTCTCCATTTATGGCCGTTACATTGCGGACTATCGGTTGAGGTAACTTGTTGGCTGATAACCAACCCTTGAACTTTCCCCCTTTAAAGCCGAGCCTTCACCAACATTAGTGTGATCCCCTCCCTCCCCATTTGTCTTCCTTGGATGGTGGTTTAATGCTGGCCAAAGAAGCTTGGTCCTTTATGAGAGCTTCTAAACCCACCCGGATGGCTCCTGGACCTGGAAAACCCCCAGATGTGGCACCAACCAACATGCCAACCTAGGACCTATGAGACCAGAGACCACTGTCAGCTTCACGCCAAGGTTTTATTGGGAAGAAGCCAGCCAAGCCCATCATAGAGTTTCCAGTTGACCTCCTTGGTCATCTACAAACAGGAGGACAGAAGAAGTGAAGCTACAGGAGATCTCCTGATCATCAGCCATGGTGGAGATGGAAGCCATGCTTGCCTGATTCAGCCCTTAGAAGTTTGGGGGCCTTGAGAGCCTTCAGAAATCCCAAGCAGAGAACCTTCCTCAGGTCTTCCACTGGAAGGTCACCTCCAGCTGGGCTTCCTTGGCCAATGTCACGATTTTGGAGAGGCCCACGGCCACTTTGGCCGCCTGGTCCAGGTCGTCACAGGCCAAGATCTCCAGCTTGCTCTGGGCTATCAAAACCTTTGCCTGCTCGACTTGGGTGCCCTGCAACCTGACCACCACGGGAATCTTCAGCTCCAGCTCGGTGGCCGCCAGGATGATGCCTTTGGCGATGATGTCGCAGTGCATGATGCCACCAAAAATGTTGACTAGGATGGACTGCACCTGCTTGTCGGATGTGATCAGCTTGAAGGCCTCCTTTACCTGCTCCGCCGTGGCCCCTCCACCGACGTCCAGGAAGTTGGCCGGCGAGCCTCCGTGGAGCTTGATGATGTCCATGGTGGCCATGGCCAAGCCTGCCCCGTTGACCAGACAACCGATGTTCCCATCCAATGCGATGTAGTTCAGTTCTGCGTTGGCTGCCTCTCTCTCCTTCTCGTCCATCTGGGTCCAATCCTGCAGCTTGAAGACCTTTTGCTGACGGAAGGCTGAATTGTCATCGAAGTTGATTTTGGCGTCCACACACATCACGGTCCCCGTAGAGTCCTCCGCCAGTGGGTTGATCTCCACCAGGAGTGCGTCGTACTTGATAAACAGGTGGTACAGCTTGACCATGTTCTCGGCAGCCGCACCCACCACCTTGGTGGGAAATCCCATTTTCCGGGCCAGCCGTAGGGCCTGATCTTCCTGGATGCCCTCCACGATGTTCACCGGTTCTTTCAAGATGGCCTCTGGGTTCTCGGCAGCCACCTCTTCGATGTTGACCCCACCTTGGGAGCTGCCAATCAACACCGGTCCCTGGAAGGCACCCTCCATGGTGATGGCAAAGTAGTACTCCTTCCGCAAATAGCGGCGTTCGCAGACAAGGACCTGGTTGCAGATCCGTCCTTTCTCGCCCGTCTGCTTGGTGAAGAGCTTCTTGCCGATCATCCTTGAAGCCACCTCCTTGGCCTCCTCTGGAGAACCCACCATCTGCACACCGCCCTTCAGCCCACCTTCAAAGGTCCCTTTGCCGCGCCCCCCGGCTAAAACCTGGGCCTTCACCACCAGGTCCTCCGTCCCGATCTTCTCGGCGGCTTGGAAGGCCTCCTCGGGGGTTTTGGCCACCAGGGCCTTTGGCACTGAGACACCAGCTTCCTTTAGCAGCTGCATACTCAGGTATTCATGGAGGGAGAGATCCCTTCGTTGCGGCGCCCAGAACTTGGGACGTCCCACAGTGCCTAGTCCACTATGTCTGCCCATCCGTCGTACCACGTTCGCTGCCCAGTGACCGAACATGGAGGAAGCCCCTCTGTCTTTCTTGTCTTCTCCAGACTCCCAACTGCCCTTCTGAGCAGAAGCAAAGACCACCTCCCAGAATTCTTTTTCTAACTGCCTCTGGGCTGCCTGTGATTGGTTGGATCCAGGGTTCCAGGTGCTTCATATGTATACACACACACACACACACACATAGTCCAACCCCCTGTTCAAGCAGGGGACCCTTACAGAATTACAGAATCACAGAGCTGGAAAGGACCTTGGAGGTCATCTAGTCCAAACCCCTGCTCAGGAAGGAAACCCTATACCAGTGTTGGCGAACCTTTTTCTCATGGCTTGCCGAAAGAGGGTATGTGTGCGTGCAACAGCTCATGTGCGTGCCAGCACCCATAAGGCAATGTGAACCCTCCCACATGCGCATGCACACATGGCCCCCCTGTGCATGCCCCCCACATTGCGCATGCACGCCCTGCACATGCATTTTGGCCCCCCACCCTGTTTTGGGCCTGGAAAGTCGTGATTCTGAGGGCAGTCCGGGGCTTCCCTGTCTCCCTGCCTGAGCAATCAGCAGCCTGTCTCTTAGTTGGCGAGAATGGCCACAGCCCTCCCCCGCCCTCTCTCTCCAAAGTTCCTCATGGCAGAGGCAGCATTACTTACCCGCTGAAAGCGCAGCCCTGGCTGCTATTTCTGCCTCTTCTCCAACCACTCGGAGTCCTGCGTAATAGCGCTGTGGATTGCTCGATGGAGCTGCAGTTTGGACTCAGGCAGAGAGACAGGGAAGCCCCGGACCGCCCATCCTTGCCACCACTGCCCCCTGGGCGGCAGTGGTTCTCGCACAGCCGCTTCCCTGGGAGTGGCAGGAGCAGCTGGCAGGGGAGAGGGGATGGTAGCCTGCTGTGGCAGCAGGCAGTTCGTGCTGGCTAAGAGGCAACGTTCCTCCTCCTGCCAGCCTTCAGCTCAGCTCCAGCCAGCCATACCGGCCTCCCCCTGCGGCAGCCCACGTGGATCCCAGGCAGCGCCATTTCGGGGCCTTTCCTCATGGTGGTGGTGACGAGGCAGGCAGACAGCTGGGTGCACGGGAGCGACTGGCGGCAGCGCTCCTGGCTGGCAGAGGGTGGAGTCCCGGGGCTGCACGCAGGCAATGATGGCATGGCTGGTGCGCATGCGCACTAAGACGTCAAGGCCAGCTGATCGTCACACGCGCATGCGCACCATACACGTGCGATGCTCAGTAACCAGCAGAGTAGCTGGCTGATGCGCATGCATGCCCTGGAAACCCGGAAGAAGAATGGGTGATGCCACGCATGCTGGGTGACATGGCTCTGTGTGCCACTTCCGGCATGCGTGCCATAGGTTCGCCAACACGGCCCTATACTATTTCAAACAGTGTCTTCTTAAAAACCTCCAGTGATGGAGCATCCATAATTTATGGTGGCAAGCTGTTCCACTGGTTAATTGTCCCCATTGTTAGGAAATTGCTCCTTCATTCCCAGTTGCTTCTCTCCTGCATGAGTTTCCATCCATTGCTGCTTGTCCTGCCCTCTGGTGCTTTGGAGAATATTATATGATGACAAAAGATGATAGATGATAGGTAGATAGATAGATAGATGATAGATAGATAGATAGATAGATAGATAGATAGATAGATAGATAGATAATAGATGATGGATAGATAATAGCAGGGGTGAAATCTACTTACCTTCCTTACCGGTTCAGAAGTGCATGTGCCATGCAGAGGGTAAAAAACACATTACTTCCTGATTAAAACCAGGAAGTAATGACACCCGGGTGGGTGGGCGGAGCCTTGTGCCACCATCACTACTGGTTCTCCAAACCACCAGCCACAATTGCTACCGGATCACCCGATCCGGCCTGAACTGGGAGGATTTCACCCCTAGATAATAGATATTGATAGGTATAATGGATAGAGAGATAGAGATGGATGGATAAATGAATACATTTAGATGAATCGATATATCATAGTTGATACATTTTTGAAGAGATAGATAGATAGATAGATAGATAGATAGATAGATAGATAGGTGATAAATGATAGATAGGTGATAAATGATAGGTAGATGATAAATGATAGATGATAGATAGATAGATAGATGATAAATGATAGATAGATGATAGATAGATAGATAGATAGATGATAAATGATAGGTAGATGATAAATGATAGATGATAGATAGATAGATAGATAGATAGAGAGATAGATAGATAGATAGATAGATGATAAATGATAGGTAGATGATAGATGATGAATGATAGGTAGATGATAAATGATAGATGATAGATAGACATAGATAGATAGACAACTAGCTAGCTATCTAGATGATAAATGATAGGTAGATGATAAATGATAGGTAGATGATAGATGGATAGATGGATGACTAGATAGAGAGAGATTATAAATGATAGGAAGATGATAAATAGGTAGATGATATAGATGATAGATAGATAGATAGATAGATAGAGATAGATAGATAGATAATAAATGATAAGTAGTTGATAAATGATAGGTAGATGATAGGTAGATAGATACATAGATAGCTAGATAGATACATAGGTAGGTATGTAGATGATAAATGATAGGTAGATGATATAGATGATAGATAGATAAATGATAGGTAGATGATAAATGATAAGTAGATGATAGATAGATAGATAGATAGATAGATAGATAGATAGATAGATGATAGGTAGATGATAGGTAGATGATAGGTAGTTAGATAGATGATAGATGATAGATAGATAGATAGATATAGATAGATGATAAATGATAGGTAGATGATAAATGATAGGTATATGATATAAATGATATAGATGATAGATAGATAGACAGACAGATAGATAGATAGATGATAGATTTCTTTTTTTTGAAAAGATTTTGTTTTTCATTTGAGATTCTAATATTTATGCATATGAAAATATTAATGTACTAAATTACAATTATGCATTCTGTGTCAGTTCCCTTTCTTCCTTTTTTTTCTATATTCAAACTTATTTAATCCTTTTATATCTCTCCTCTAACCATTCATACCATTTATCCTATACCATGTAATATTCTGTTTCCTCCTTATCTTGTATTTCTTTTGTGAGTTTATCCATCTCTGCTATGTTATTATTTTTTTAATTTTGTGCATATATTATTCTTGCTGCTGTTGTGATATGTATAATTAAGTATTGTATTTTTTTTCCCTGTAATTCCCTGGAAGTATTCCTAACAAAAATAGTTCTGGTTTTATCTCTATTCGCTGTTTGGTTATGTCTTCTAAGTTTATTCTCATTCTATTCTAATATTGTTTTACTATTCTAATATTGACACATCCACCACATGTGGTAATATGTTCCTGAATTTTGTTTACATTTCCAACAAGTTGATGGGGTATTGGGGAACATTTTGGCCAGTCTTGCTGGTGGAAGGTGCCACCTATAAAACATTTTATACACATTTTTCCTTGTAGGCTACAGACATTGTCAATTTATAGTTTTTGTTCAGAGGTGGGTTTCAGCAGGTTCTGACCAGTTCTGGAGAACTGGTAGCGGACATTTTGAGTAGTTCGGAGAATCGGTAGTAAAAATTCTGACTGGCCCCGCCCTCATCTAGTCTCTGCCTCCCAAGTCCCAGCTGATCGGGAGGAAATGGGGATTTTGCAGTATCCTTCCCCTGGATTGGGGAGGGAATGGTGATTTTATAGTACCCTTGCCACATCCACCAAGTCACGCCCACAGAACTGGTAGTAAAAAAATTTGAAACCCACCACTGTTTTTGTTCCATAATTTCTCCCATTTCTCCAATTCATTATAACCAAAGTTTTTGGCCCAGATTATCATAGTTTCTTTGACTACCTCCTCCTCCATTTTGTATCTCAATCAATAATTATACATTTTTAAAATCAGTTTGTCCTCTGTGCCTAGTAAACTCTTGTCTAATTCTTGTGATTCTTTTTGAAACCCATATTGTTTTAAATCCTTCCTGTATCTAATTTGTTCCTGCAAGTATGGCCAAAGCATCCACATTTTGAACACGTGGCCATAGGAACACTGCAATGGTCCTAAGTGTGAAAAACACATGCCAGTCACTTTTTTCAGTGCTGTCGTAAGTTCGAACAGTCACTAAATGAGCTAAATGTAAATTGAGGACTGCCTACTAACTTTCTGGTACCGAAAGCAACAAAACAGACACCTAATTCTCTGCTTTTCAGATGGAAATCGGCATCTCTTTCTCGGGAACTTTTCAGGAAGGTCAGAAGCAGTGAAGCTCCAAGTTCCACCTGCAGAGAAAGTAAGACTTCCATCTTGGGGTTTTGCCTGCGGGGCATTAAGGAGGCGGGGCAGAGGCAAATGAGGTCACAGAACCTCTGGCTTCAGCCAATGAGAAACCACCAGGAAGCAGTGGGCTGTTGTTTTTTTCAAACCATAACAGCCAGTTGGAAGGTCTCCTCCTCCTCCTTCGGGAGGCGATCCCAACTTGGCTGAAGGCATCTAGCCATTTCCATGTTCTGGACGCAGGCAGTCAGAGCAGCCCAACTGATATGGACCAAGGTCTTCTGGACAGGCTGGGGCGCCAGGGCCTTGGGGTTTGGGGCCAGCCGCCGATTTTCAACGACATCTCCCATCTGGCAGCTACAACGTCAACGTCTCCGGCACCTGTCCATCCATGAATACCTGAGCATGAAGCTGTTGAAGGAGGCCGGTGTTTCCGTCCCGTATGGCTTGGTGGCGAGGACACCAGAAGAAGCTTACAAAGTGGCAAGGAAGATCGGCACCAACGACTTGGTGGTAAAGGCCCAGGTGGTCGCCGGGGGACGAGAAAAGGGAGTCTTCGAAGGGGGCCTGAAGGGGGGTGTGCAGATTGTGTGTTCTCCAGAGGAGGCTGAGGAGGTGGCCGCCCAGATGATCGGCAAGAGGCTCTTCACCAAGCAGACGGGCGAAAAAGGACGGATCTGCAACCAGGTTTTTATCTGTGAACGCCGTTACCTGCGGAAGGAGTACTACTTCGCCATCACCATGGAGAGGGACTTCCATGGACCGGTCATCATTGCCAGCTCTCAAGGTGGCCTCCAAATTGAAGATGTGGCGACCGAGAAGCCAGCATCCATCCTGAAGGAGCCGGTGGACATCGTGATGGGCCTCTGCATGAGCCAGGCCATTCCATTGGCTGAGAAGATGGGCTTCCCTTCGCAGCTGGCAGAAGAGGCAGCGGACACCATGGTCAAGCTGTACAACTTCTTCATCGACTACGACGCAGTCATGGTGGAGATCAACCCGTTGGTGGAGGACTCCACCGGGAGGGTGATGTGCATGGACGCCAAGGTCATTTTCGACAGCAACTCGGCCTTCCGTCAGCAGAAGGTCTTCGAGCTGCAGGATTGGACCCAGATGGATGAGAAGGAGAGACAGGCAGCCAATGCGGATCTGAACTACATCGCGTTGGATGGGAACATCGGCTGTCTGGTCAATGGGGCGGGCTTGGCCATGGCCACCATGGACATCATCAAGCTGCATGGAGGTGCACCGGCCAACTACCTCAGTGTGGGCGGAGGGGCCACGGTAGAGCAAGTCACCGAGGCCTTCAAGCTGATCACCGCTGATGAGAAAGTCCAGGCGATTCTGGTCAACATCTTTGGCGGGCTCATGCGCTGTGACGTCATCGCACATGGGATTATCATGTCCGCTGAAGACCTGGAGCTGAAGATCCCCATTGTGGTGCGTTTGCAGGGGACCCGGGTGGCTGATGCCAAAGTCCTGATCGCCGAGAGCGGCTTGAAGATCCTGGCTTGTGATGATCTGGACCGGGCGGCCATGATGGCTGTCACGCTTGCCGAGATCATGAGGTTGGCGAAAGAGGTGGACATTGATGTGAAGTTTCACTTGCCCTCCTGAGACACCACGGACACCACGGCCGCCATGGAGGGCCCGTTCCCGAGCACAGCTCCCTCCCCCTTCCTCCGTCCTATTTGGGGGTGGGGGGCAGCTTAGGTTTGCCCTCACACTCTGCTCAATTTCAACATGGCCACTCTGCAAATATCCCGTGGTTGCCCTTGTTTGCAAATTCTTGCCAGAGAACCTGGAAGACGAAAATATGTTGCCTGCTAATAAAGTCTGAGTTTAAAGAAAGTTTATCTTCTTGACTGCAGGGGATAGAAGGGGTGGAGGGGGAGGATAAATCTGGCTCTGATGGGGTGGAGGCGAGGGTCTTCCCTGGCTCTGTTGAGCAATGGGGATGGGGGGCTGTGCTGGATTGCACTGGGGAGCACTGTTTTCTTGCACCCCCATTCCTGATAGGCCTCTCTCTCTGTCTCTCTGCCTCTCTTTCCATCTGTTCTGTCCCCGTCTCACACACGCACCCCCACAGACAGGCAACAACTAAAGAACTCAGCTGACAACAGTTTTATCTGGTATCAGAATTGGCAGCAACCCAGTGGCTGGCTGCCAGGTATTCTTTACTCACGAGGGGGGAGTTTCTCCCTTCGTCCGGGAACAAAGCCAATACATAATAATCAACAAAGTCCAGTAAATACAAAGAAGGTCGTCCGATATCCGTTTTTTTCTTGTCACAGAGCTGAACCGGCCACCACACTCTCTTTTATACCCTGTGGGGTGTGGTCCAATGACTCAGCCTAATCCCTGGCATGCCTCTTCTTCTGTTGCACGCGCTTATCTCTGCGACGCTGCCGAGGATCCAGCCAAGACTCATCTTCCTCATTACTGTCCATCTGTGGCTGCGTGGACGTGCTTGGCCCCGGGCGTATCTCTTGACCTTCGGCGGACACTGAAGGCATTGCCAGAGAGGAGGGTCCTGGAGAGGGAGGCCTTGCCAACTCCTCTCCTTCACTCTTGGAGTCCTCTCCTGCCGATAACACAGGCTCAGGTAACGGAGCCACAACACCATCTCTCTCTCCATCTCTCCATCTCTTTCCATCTCTCTCTCTCCATCTCTCTAACTCTTTCCAACTCACTCTCTCTCTTTTCTCTCTCTCTCTCTCAGGCCAATCCTACCTCACAGGGTTGTCATTGGGATAACCAGGATGGGTGGAGGGCTGGCTTATGTCTTACTGACCTCACTGCACTGCATCTCCAGTACCATCCTCAAGCCTACCTTGACCTGTATTTCTGACCTGGACACTCAGAACTCAACTCAACCCAACTCAACTGAACTCAAGTCTTCGATTCAATTCAACTCAACTCAACTCAACTCAACTCAACACAATCCAACTCAACTAGTTCAATTCATGGGATTTCTATACCTGACTGACTCAACCAAATTCAACCAAACTCACTCCTTGCCACCCTCTAGTGGGCCACTGGATTTTGGCAGCCCAGGAACCTGTCCTGCAGCCGGAGACAGGCCATTTTCAGAGACTCTGCTATGTTTTATGAGAAGAAAAAGGAGAAGGGGAATGGGGAGCAAAAGGAAGGAAGAGGGCAGAGGGAAAAAGAGGGGAACAGAAGGGGAAGGGGAAGGGGAGGAGGAGGAGGAGGAGGAAGAAGAAAAAGTAGTAGTTGTTGCTGGAAGGGACCTTGGAGGTCTTCTAGTCCAGCCCCCTGCTCAAGCAGCAGACCCTCTGCCTTTTCAGACAAATGGCTGTCCAGTCTCTTCTTTCTGTGGCAACGGAGCACAAACACACCCATGCACACACGCACACACACACACACACACACACGGACACACATATGGACACACACAGATAACAGAGGGCAATAATGCGCTTTATTTAAAAGAAAGAACCATTTTACAACTTCAACCACTTTGTAAAACTCAAGTAGAACCTTTGTAAAACTTTGAAAAATTCGCAAAACTCAAGGAAGAATGTTTGCACAACTTCGGCAAACACATCTTAAAAACTAGTAGCAACTTCTCATGCTTCTCCTCCCCCGAGGATGCACTGGTTGTGGGGGAGGGGGAGGGGGAGAAGAGATCTCGCCCAGGATTGTGCCTGACTGTGGTGGTGGGGAATCGGAGCCCTTTCGGGTCTGGCAGCTCCAGGGGTGAAATTCAACCAGCTTGGACCGGCTTGGGCGAACCGGTAGAGATGATTTGAATCAGTTTGCCGAACAAGTAAAAACCACCCCTGGTTGGGCCTTCCCATGCTTGCCTGGTCGCCACTCACCCCTTCTGGCCGCTTGCCCCATTCAACGTTAAATGCTGCAGCAGAGAGAATCCAAACTTTTCTCTGTCCATTCACAGCGGAGCTGCAGCAGCCTGTCCCTTTAAGGTAGTTCCCGGGAGGGAGGAGGCCGGGGGGGGGAGGGGCATAAAGGGAGAAGCAGCTCCGTTGTGAATGAATGGAGAAAAAATCAGCTTCTCTCTGCCGCAGCATTCACTATCAGCCCTTCTGGTGCTCATACACACATTTTCTCCTACCGGGTTCTGTGGGCGTGGCTTGGTGGGTGGGGGTCATGTGACTGAGTGGCCGTGGCTGTGAATGACATTGAGTTGGCCACGCCCACTCAATCACAGGAAAACCCCCCCACTAAGCCACGCCCACAGAACCGGTAAGGGAGAAATTTGAATGTCCCCACTGGGCAGCTGCCCAACCCAACCACAGCAACTGGAAACCCATTGGGAGAAGTGATGGACCCACCAAAAGCTGGGGGGGGGGGCTGTCCGCCAGGTGTCGAGCCCCTCCCAATCTGGGGAAACAAAGAAACCATGGGAGGTGATCCCAAGGCAGCCCACTCCTCCTCGGCCCAGACTCCCTCCCTTATTCGCCAGCAATGTAGATAAACCGATGTTTCTCCAGTGCGCTGATGTCATGTTCCAGCTGTTTCATCTCAGTCTCCAACTTCTCCTTGCGGAGCCTCTGCGGGATGGTGGTGATCTCCACGGAGAGGCTCTGGAAGTCCTTGTTGATCTCCTCCCAGTTGTTCTTCAGACCCTGCGGGGAGGGGACAGAGAGAAGAGGGTCCACATAGGATGGTGTTGCCTAGTTGGGTCATGAAACGTCTGCCAGGAAACACTCAAGCTTTGAGACCATCGAGGATGCCACAGCCCAACTCCTCCTCTTCCTCCCCTCCCCCTCTCTCCCCTCCTCTTCCCCTTCCCCTCCTCCTTCTATTCTCCTCCCCGCCTTCTGGCACTGATGGTGTCCCTTAGTTGGGTCATGAAAACATCTGCAAGAAAACCACCCAGCTCAGAGACCACTAAGAATCCCACAGGATAGAAACCATGGGGTCATATTAATCCAATCATTTTTATTTGAAATAAGGGAGAGGTATGTAAGCTTTAAGGGTGTGAACGGTATCCGGGAGTGTTTACCTCCCCTTCCACAATTTGGTGCTCCCGATGGATTGCACTGATTGGCCCAAACTCTCAACCAGCAACCCATGGAAGGTACGTGCCAGTAAGGTCAGGCACTGGGTGGACCTGTGATGCTCAGGAGATGTTAGAAATTCTGTTTATATATAGCACCACAGATCAGCCGCCCTGAGTCTCCAGAGAAAGGTGGCATATAAATTGAAATAATAATAATAATAATAATAATAATAATAATAATAATAATAATAATAGTAATAGTAATAATAGTAATAATAATAATAATCAAACAATGTGCACAGTCAGCATGTCCTTTACTGCTTAACTGTAACAGGGAACAGGACACAAAGGAACTATAGATGCTAACTTAATATCTGTATAATTATAGATGCTAACTAAACACTGCCATCTACTGGCTGATTAATTCTGTAGTTGCAATACAAAATACATTCCAACCATGAATTCCAGTGGGGGTGGGGGTGGGGGAGGGTAGGCGTCTGCTTACATCCAAGATGTTCTCCCGTTCACGGGAGGAGAGGCGGGTCAGCCGTCTCTTCTGCAGGCACTCCCGCCGAGCAGCCACCCGTTCTTTGCGCACATCCACAGCTTCTTTCTTCCGCCTTTGGATGTATTTGGGGGTCACCCCGAAGTCCTGCG